AACATCAAGAGCTTCTCCAACACTGAGGCTAGGGGGGGATAGTTGATCTCAGGGTATCAGGATAGCCAGAACAACGTACAGGTTCACTCACTAATTGGTGCTGGCCTGTGAGAATTACTTAATTGCGCTGATGAAGAGAAATTTGTGTAGGCGGTCAGCTTTTTGACTGGGTAGGTCTGAATCTTGTGCACATCCAGCAGAGTTATGCATCCCTCAAGGGCTGCGTGCATTGGAGAATGCTGCAGCAAGCTCGACATCTGGGCTCCGTTACGGGATTCTTGACACTGGATTCAAAAGGAATCATGGAAAAGCAGACGGGGCTGTGATGCGGCTCATACGAGAGGCCCAGCAATTTTGGAAATGCAGGGGTTGCTGGCAAAACACTTAATGTATTTCAAGATGTGGAAAGAAATACAAGCCAAAATGAGAAAACAAACAGAAAATAAATGTATGCTAAGGATGTTAAGGCAAGTGAAGCAGGATCAGTGACAGTCACCACCACAGAAAATAATCCATCACTGAGCAGCAAGTATTAGATTATGTACCGATGTTATATACAAGATGCCTGCAATAGACAGTTATGAAAACAGTTCAATAGATCATTAGCTAATCAAAGATAAAACTCCTATTCCATTTTTTCTGATTTTCTCTCCACATGCGTTTGCAATTTCTTTTGTGTTATTTGAGTTCTAAGTATATATTGTTCTAGGTATATACTGTAGTCAGTTCCCAGGTCTGTAGCTGTTCTGATCAAGCTTTTCCTTTCGAAAACGCACAAAAAAAAAAAAAAAAACCCAAAACCCAAAAGAGGTATATTTGCAGTTCTTCAGACCATAGGTTTTGCTTGGGAAAAGTAAGAACAACTTTGTAAATAGGCTTTGTTCTAAGTTGATCTAAGAAAAAGGAAACTTTATATTCCTTTAGGAAGACAGTAAGGAAATACTAAATATTTGGTTTGTTCTTAACTCTTTACCTAATAATGCGTAACACGCTATTTGCTTTTCCAGCAAACATCTATTACATCTTCACAGAATTATCTATTAAGGCTCCAGCATCTCCTGAAATGTAGTTTATTGTCCACCCTCATTACCCATGACATAAACGTTAGGCCTGCTTTTTCCCCTTCGCATGTGTTGGGGGAGCACGTATTAACATTTAATACACTCTGTATTAATGCCGTATTTCACCTGCTGGTTTTATTATCCTGTCACTTCAGGCTGGAGGCTGGCTTTGCAGTTCTTCGCTGTTAGCTCTCATCTTTCTTGTAGCACCATTCACCACTTTTTTTCCAAGACACTTATGTGTATATTAAACAGTCTTCACTAGCCATTAACCCCATCTCCAAAAATAACCTGTGGGATTTCAGAGGTGATTTTCCTCCACTGGTGAAACTGATGACTGATTCTTATTTTGTTCCTGTATTGTTAACCAGCTATTTATTCATGCAAGGCCTTTAATGGTGACTTTTTTTTTATGAGAAGTAGACCAGAAGACACTCAAGTAGACCAGAACTACCTGATCTCCTTTACCTTCAAATTCACTGATCTCTTTGAAGCATATTTACAGGTCTGTGGAACAGGATTTCCTCTTGTGAAACCGCGAGTCCTATTTAGCCATTTGTCCAGCAACTCTCAGCTGTACTGTGGCTCCTACCAACTTGCCATATGGACATTACTGGTCTGAAGTTCCCTATATCTCCACAGAATGCTTTCTGAAAATTAGTGTCATATTTGTGACCTTCCATTCCTCTAGCACTAAGGCAGCTTTAAGTGAAGAAAAATATAAAGTACAGTTCATAGTTCATCCATTTCATCCTTGAATTTCCTTAGAACTCTTGGATGAATACCATCTGTCCTGTCATTTTGTTTCAAAACCTTTTACACTTGGATTTGAGACAGATGCTCCACCATGCCTCTCCCATTAAAAAGTTCTGTCATGAAAACTTCCTGAAGCTCCACTACAAGGCTGAAAAAAACTTTTCTTTTCCTGAAATCTTCTCTAGGCATTGCTACTATATCTTGACCATCTTTAGTCCCTAGGACTGTTTGGCAGGTCTCCTGGTTCTGAGGTGTTTGAAAGTTGTTATTAATCCGTGAGTTTTCTCGCGTTGCTCTGATGCTATTCTTTCCTGCCACGCATTGCTGTGTCTGGCCTGTTGGGGTATAGGTGTCTTCTGGTACACTGGTTTAGAAATAGCGTCAACTTTTTAAAGCCTGCTTTGCTACACTTGTTGTTCTCTCATACCCACTCTTTATTCACCTCAGTCTTTTTTTTTTTTTGGCAGTCTTTTGGTCTGCTTTACTGGGTGGTATGCCTTTTTGCTGGACCTCTAATGCAACGTGCGCAGTCTCCCTGATGCCTGCAACCATTTTGGGCATCCCTTTTAGTTTTGATATGAGACAGACCTCCCAGTTCACCTCCAGTGAAAAGTTTCCCGTGAGTAATTTCATAAGATTGTCCATATTGAACACGGATGTGAAAAACTAATTTAGCTTTTCTTCTGTGGCCTTACCTTTTCTGAACATTCCTGTTGCACTTTGATCCCTTACTAGTCCTTTCCAGTGCTAGTTCTTTCAGCGCTCACAGATGGGCATTATCTGAACCCCCCGACGTGACATACCATACTTTTTAAAGCTTAATTTGAAAGTAGTAATTTCCACATGCTCTTTTCCATTTGCCTTTAATCTATACTCAACATCCTTCTTATTGTAAGGACAAAAATATTATCTTAAAACACCTACTAATTATCTTTAGTCTTGACGTCGTTCTTAGTTGATAGATCAGCTTGATGCAGAGCTTTGCCGTGGCTTGCTGCAGCTCATGCTGACACGGCGTGCGCACAAAATGATCTGTGTAATGATGTGGGTCAGGCTAGTAGAGCGGTGCAATAGACTGTTTTTGCAATGAGGATCTCCAGCAGTCAAGATATATTTGTAAATGAGATCATAAACAAAAGTAACCCACAGGTGGCTTTTCATAGAGCATCGTTAGGACGTGGGACAACGGAGTGGCAACATTAGGCAGTTCTGCACTGATTTGTGCAGAAGTTGCATTGAAGCTGAATTAGCCAATTAATGCTAAATGGAATTGAACCCAAAAGTCATTTTACCTCACTGAGGAAAATATTAGAAGAGCTCCTTTGTTCTGAATGACCTCAAAATATGTTCTTATTCTGACAGAATATTTAAAATTCTGTAACCCGCACAGCTTTCTAGGACACCTGAAGGGTTGTATTTCATTTCAATTCAAAAGCACTTGAGCAGCAGTAAAAAACATTTCAAATAATCAAACTAGTCAGTTTACTCTGATGCTAGTGCTCCACTGCAAAAGATTATTTAAATCTAATCAGAAAGACTTCTTGAAGCATCACCGGTCTGTTCAGGGAGGGAGTCTGAGAATTGAGGGGAGGTGACAGTGGGTTTCTACAGGGAAATCTGAACAGAATATGCTGCAAATGAGACAAACATAGTCTCGGCTACACGCTATGACAGCGAATTGCCTCTAGCTGGAAGAATTTTTGAGTTAAGGATAAAGGTGCTCTAGGATTGCAGACTCTCTACAGGAGAAAATGTTCTTCAGCGCTGGATGTACTGCATGGAAAACAACTGCCTCTCACTTCCAGTTTATGCCTGTGGCTTCCCAAAATCTGAGCTTGCAAAAGGGAGCTATGGATCCTGCCTGTGCCGAGTATCTCCAGTAGGTCCAACATGTAAGACAGCAGCTAATCCTTCTGATACTCCTTTAAGTATCTCAGGGGCAGGGTAGGGAGGAAAAAAAACAACTCCAGGTTTCTAAGGCCTTCAAAGGTTAGTGCCTACTTCACTAGAAAAATGTTTTAATTGCCTTTACAGTTACCTTATTTCCATACTTTCAGGAATACACAAAGTGGTTTTGTCAAGACTCGTTTCAGAAAGCGCTATGTTATCTTTAACGTACTGCAGTGGCATTTGGCATGTTTATAGAGCTGAAATATTTTTTTTTGTCTTACACATGTACAATGACTGCATGCAAATTTATTTCGGAAGTTGATAGACAATAGGGAGACACTTTAAAAACCAGAAAAAAGCTGGAAGCCTGCCCTTTATAGTGCTTAATACTTTAGACATTAAATGTTTTTTTCAGTGCTGGGCTTGCAAAGGGTATTGCCTAGTATTTATCTCAACAAATTAAACTTAAGCTATTAGTTTATCTGTGGGATCTCCAACTCCCCACTTGCAAATATTGTTAGATATCTAGATTTAGGCTTTTAAATATACTAAAGGTTAAGTGAAAAAACCTGAAAAAACCAAGGCCTAGTGTAACAGGCAATACAGTTACCACCACAAACAGGAACATAGCACATGTTCTTTACAAATGCCGCCTCTCTTTCCTGCAGCAATTTATTGGCATGTGCGGAGATAACATTCCAACATTTTTCATGCTGTTCTGCAAGCTGTGTATTTTATGAGAAGCCACTAATACTGGGGCCGGGGGGAGAGGGAAGGAGTAGGGAACATCTGGGAAGACATACCTCTAGCCCCATCTGTCTTATAGCCAACTTTCCTACCCTGATACAGACAGCGGAAAAGGCCAGTGACCCTGAGCTCAGGGAGAGAAAGTTCCTAAGATTCGCTCATTATCAGCTAATACACCAAGATAAAACTTGAAAACCTCTGCTTCATTAGTTTGGGGGGGGGATGCAAATCCAGGAACATCAGCAACTTTGGCACTTAAAACTAGAGATACTTTTTTCCCTCAGAAGGTGACAGAAGGAAATGCTTGCGTAAGAAAAACATCAATTACCACTAAGGGTAGCGTATGTGGGAGAGAGAATTGCGGTTAAAGAGGAAAGAAAAAAAGTTTCAAATCCAGTATAAACTACAGGAGTCAACACTTCAAGACTTGCCAGTTTTGCAGCAACAGCAATAGCCCAAGAACAATGCAAAGCCTGATCCTGCACAGGGCTTCAGCATTCCGGGAGTACCCAGCTTCTCAGAAACATCAAGAATACAACAGTAATCATGTACAACATTTTATTACAAAATTGTTAAAAAAGTAATACAATGCAATATACTACAAAATATAAGATCAGCTATTAAGCTACCTCCTTTGTTTTACTTAGCTATAAAGAAACACCTGGCTATCAGTCACTGAATTTCAACAAAACCATTAAATATGCAGAAACATTCCACAACTTTTTTTTTTTTTTTTTAAACCAAACTGTAGCAGCCCTCGGCTACTACTTACATTAAAAATAGAGGTCTCCCTACAAAGAACCACGTTACCTATACACAATTCTGTACAGATTTTTATACTGAAGCTAACAATGAGCTGCACTTGAGTTCACATTCTTAGCAAAATATTGGATTTTGAGCATAAATCTTTACAGCAGGACATTCATTTATTCCTCATCCTCATCTTCTTCTTCCTCTTCTTCATCTTCCTCCTCCTCCTCCTCCTCTTCTGGTTCTGCTTTCTTCTTAGATCCTGCAGGCCTACCTGGGCCCTTTTTTCCTGCGTCACTCTTGCTCTTGGCACGATACGCTGCAATATCCTGCAAGAAAAATGCTGTTTAGTTGCTGGCAATGCAACTCTGAAGACAAATTTGTACTGCTTCAATAACTTAATGCTATACTGTGCAGATCAAATACAGTGTGTGCGCAAAAGCAGGGTTTCAACCTTGGGACCTTCATGCTTACGCCTTTTGGCAAGAGAACGCATTATCCCATTTTAAGAATTTTATGACCACAGTGCTTTGGAGTATGACTGTGTACTTTTCCAAGCAGGTGACCTGTTTTCTGGAAGTAAAGCATCTTTTTGGTAAAATCTCTAGACGCGTAAAAACCACATCCAGGTTCACTGTAAGGGTTGCAGATGCCTCCCACACCATGCAGTCTGAAGCCTGACAAAGGCTGACATAAACATTTAGAAGTATGAACCGTATATAGTTTAAGTGCAAAATGAAAGCCACACATTTACAGCAACCTCTACAGCTTTAACCATTATTTTATCACTTTCACTCTACCTTTTCATATTTCTCCTTTAGTTTTGCAGCCTTCTGTTCATATGGCTGTTTATCTTTGGCTGACTGTTCAGACCACATTTCTCCTAATTTCTTTGCTGTATCTCCAATAGACAAGCCAGGATGATCATTTTTGATTTTTGGACGGTGTTCAGAACAGAAAAGGAAGAACGCAGATCTAAAATGAGAGACAGTGATTAAAATTAAGTGTCAGACTATTGGAACTAATACCCCCCTCCCATCCC